GAAGTATCCATATGCTCTTTAATCCAGAACAGAGATCTGAGGAAAGCCTCAAACATAAAAAACAGAGAAGAAAAGTACAAAGAGTAAAGGGGAAAAAAAAAAAAGAACTTGAAACATACTATGCACAGAGAAGAAAATTTCACAGAAACTATCATTAATAGCTTCAGAAAGAAAAAGATACTGCACTCATGAAATAAGATGAAAGGAACAGAGAAGGAATCCTTAAAAATTAAGAACATAAGAGCAGAAATGTAAAACTCAAAAAAGGGTTTGAAGACAGAAGTTGAGGAACTATCAAGTAGCAAAACAAAACTGTACCCCCCCCCAAAAAAAGAAAAAATTATGACGTCCAGTGAAGGAAAGTCAATATCTGAGTAAGAGTTACAGGAGAGAATAAACAAAGGGAAGAAAATAATCAATGAAATAATTCAAGAAAATGCCCTAGAAATAAACTAAATTTGCATATCACAAGGGTCCACCAAAGTACCTACCACAATGGATGACTCACAGCAAGGTATAGTCTTGTGAACTACAGGAACAAACAGAAGAGTCTGCAAGCTATCAGAGAGGGACAAAAGTCACAGAAAAAATACCAGAATCAAAATAATTTGATTTAACAGCAACTCTGGAAGTAGAAGATGGAGCAATGCCTTTAAAACTGAGCAAAAATGATTTCCAGGCTAGTGTTTTATACCAGCCAAACTATCAAACAAGTGTACGAAGATAATAAAAATGTATTCAGATAATGCAAGGTCTCAAAAAATTTGGTTCCATATGCCCTTTCTCAGGAAACTATTGAAGGACTTGCTGTATATTCAAAATGAGTGAGTAAACCAAAATCAAGGAAGACATAGAATTTATCAAGAGAAAGCTGAAGAGGGGGTGCCTCGGTGCTCAGTTGCTTAAGCGTCTGTCTTCAGCTCAGGTCATGATCCCAGGGCCCTGAGATCGAGCCCCACGCAGGGCTCCCTGCTGAGTGGAGAGCCTGCTTCTCCCTCTCCCTCTGCCTGCCGCTCTGCCTACTTGTGCTCTCTTTGTCAAATAAATAAATAAAATCTTAAAAAGAGAGAGAGAAAGCTGAAGGGAATCCCCAAGATAACAGCTATTCAGACAGAGAATGTGACTAGTATAAATTGAAGGAATACACAGTTGACCCTTGAACAATCCAGTGGCAGCAGGGGGCAGAGGGTTGGTTAGGGGTCCCAACTCTCTGTGCAGTTGAAATCTGCATATAACTTTTGAGTTCCCAAAAATTTAACTACTAATAGCTTATTGCTGACCAGAAGCCTTACCAATAATATAAACGTCTATTAACACATATTTTGTATGTTTTGTGTATTATATACTGTATTTTTAAAATAAAGTAAGCTAGAGAAAAGAAAATGTTATTTTTTTTAAAGTGGTATTTTTGTGATGATGGACTTGTTTTGTTTTTAAAGATTTTATTTATTCATTTGACAGAGAGAGCACAAGAAGGGGGAGAGACAAAAAGGGAGGGAGAAGCAGACCCCCCGCTGAGCAGGGAGCCTGATGCGGGGCTCAATCCCAGGACCTGGAGATCATGACCTGAGCCAAAGGCAGATGCTTAACCATCTGAGCCACCCAGGTGCCCAAAAGAAAATGTTACTAAGAAAATCATAAGGAAAACACATTATTATTGTTATTAAGAAAATAGTAAGGAGAGGGGCGCCTGGGTGGCTCAGTCGTTAAGCGTCTGCCTTCGGCTCAGGTCATGATCCCAGGGTCCTGGGATTGAGCCCCGCATCGGGCTCCCCGCTCCGTGGGAAGCCTGCTTCTTCCTCTCCCATTCCCCCTGCTTGTGTTCCCTCTCTCGCTGTCTCTGTCAAAAAAATAAATAAAAAAAAGAAAAGAAAAGAAAATCATAAGGAGAGATAATACATTTACAATACTGTAGTATATTTACTGAAAAAAATCTGTGTATAGATTATATAAGGACCACACAATTCAAACCTGTGTTGTTCAAGGGTCAACAGCACAAGGCTCCAGGTGAGATTTCCTCAAGATGATGAAAATGACAAATTACCGGAGCACCTGGGTGGCTCGGTCAGTTAAACGTCCCATTTTTTTTTTTTTTTTTTTTTTTTAAAGATTTTATTCATTTGACAGAGAGAGACACAGCGAGATAGGGAACACAAGCAGAGGGAGTAGGAGAGGGAGAAGCAGGCTTCCCGCGGAGCAGGGAGCCCGATGCGGGGCTCGATCCCAGGACCCCGGGATCATGACCTGAGCCGAAGGCAGACGCTTAACTGACTGAGCCACCCAGGCGCCCCTAAACGTCCCATTCTTGATTTCAACTCAGGTCATGACCTCAGGGCTGTGAGATCTGAGTCCTGCATCAGTCTCCACACTGGGCATGGAGCCTGCTTAAGATTCTCTCTCTCCCTCTGCCACTCTACCCGCCCTTTCCCACTCTTAAAACAAAAACAAAAACAAAACAGAAAATGACAAATTACCAATCTATCAGATCATGTGGAAAAAATTAAAACTGGGAGAGTTTTACTATGAATCATAAAATACTAAGAACCCTCTCCCTCACCAACACACACACACACACGCACACACACACACAGATAACTGCAGAAAAATCAAAAGGTTCTGAGGGCATAGAAAGTACTAGACACCACATGGCTAAGTTGTGTACACTGTTAACATGATAACATACACACTGAATTCCTAACCAAAATTGTAACAGGTAAGATAGCAGGATGTCGGAGGTAGGTGGGAGGTAAGGCCCAACACAAGGATGGAAATGACTAATCCACAACTTCTATAGTGAAAAGTAAAAAGTAATTTAGAAGGATGGAATTTTGAGATACAGAGGTAAATATCAAAAGAACCAGCTGACAGAGTTAAAGGTTCTGAGAAAGAGGGATATAGCCACAGCAGACTGTTTTCCAAGCAAAGCCTGTAGCATTAACCAGTTGACTTTTTAAATTATATGCACCTTATATACGACTTTAAAAAGTGATTTTATAAAAACTTGGGTTTTCTAATACCATTTGAAATATTTGGCTTTGCTAAGAAAACAAACATGTATAATCACAATGATATGAACACTGCACTATAATATTTAATTTTTCACTGATATCAACTAATAATTAGTACAAAGTATTAACTGCTGAGCCTACGTAAAGTACATATGGGTGTTCATTGTGTTACTCTTCAATTTGTCTATAGGTTTGAAACTTTCAAAATAAAAAGCTGGAGGGGAAAATTACAATGCCACAGAAAGAGTCAAACATTAATACTGGTCACAGTTTCAGCGGGATGGGGAGCAGGATTACTTTGACAGCAGTCTACATGAAAATTCCTACTATTGGCACGTGTCAATGGCAAGACCAGTAATTGCAAGACCAGTAATTCCACCAGGTTATGTGCTATGAAGGAGATAAGGAGGAAAAGGAGCACATTCAAAGAAAAATGGAGAGTTAACTACTAAGAGGTACTAATTAGGCTTTCCAGAACCTGGATGACTGTAGCTTGCTATAAACTATAGGGAAATGAAAACAAAAGTGAAAAATGCTAAAAAGAAAATGGAAAAGGTATTATGAAATAACTAGCTGTAAGGTTAAATAGATCCATTTTACCATATTTTGTCATTTCTTCAGTAGGAAGCTATATAAATTCACCCTTTCTGGGAAGAAGAGTTTTAACCTTTTTATAGCCTGAAAACAAAACATGGTATTTTCCAGTCAGCAATGGCACTTGCTCTTTGGTGTGATCACATTCTTGACTCATGAGAAACAGGCCAGACAGGTACCTCAATATTCAATATTTGAAATATGAAATCAAATCTAGCAATCCCACTTTTGATACATGTATATGTGAAAGTTATTCTTTACACTACTGTTGTGTACACAGAAACACATTTATGTTATATACATATGTAATGTAAATATGTATATAGAGACTTCACAACACAAAATCAAAAACAACCTAAATACCTATCAACAGGAAAATAGTTATATATAACATAATCAAAAAGTGGAAAACTATGCCGCTGTAATAAAAAAGAAAGTCTTCAATGCACTAACATGGAAAAACCTCTAAGTGAAAAAAGCAAATGTAGAATATACAAAAAATATGCTACTTTTGTGTTAAAATAAAGAGATGAGACTATATACTTGGATGTACATAAAAATACTTTAGAAACAAACATTAAAAACAACTGCTCACTCTTTGAAAAGAAGGGTAAAGAATGGGGCATATCAGAGAAAAGGAGGGAGTTGATTTTTGGAATATTATGAATATATGACCTAGTCAAAAACTAAAATACACATATTAAATCACAAAACATCTTAACAGAAAAAAGGCAGCTCAAGATCAAGTTTTAGGACGCCTGGGTGGCTCAGTTGGTTAAGCGACTGCCTTTGGCTCAGGTCATGATCCTGGAGTCCCAGGATTGAGTCCCACATCGGGCTCCCTGCTCAGCGGGGAGTCTGCTTCTCCCTCTGACCCTCCCCCTTCTCATGCTCTCTCTCTCTCTCATTCTCTCTCTCAGATAAATAAAATCTTTAAAAAAAAAAAAAAGATCAAGTTTTAGTCCCTAGCTTACAGCATTTTAAGGATACCTGAGATTCAAATAGAACCAAGTAAGAAACAAACTACAGTTATTAAAGGGAATGCACTAAATCAAGATTTTACAGTTCAAAATTCAAAGGATTCTTTATAATTATTTCAGCTTTAAAACTTAAGAGCAATGATACAAACCTGAAGACTGAGGTAGAAAAACCTAAATATACTGAAAAGTGATTCTAGACAATGTAAACTTGAGGTAATAAAGCTAACATTTTCCTGGCATCTATAAATAGAGTGACAATCATAAAATAAAACTAAAAAAATTCAAAATGGTAAAAATACAATAACAATTTATTCACCAAATGCTCAAAGGTAAAAATGTATTACTACTTAAGGCAACAAAAATTAGGCTAAAGGCAACTACAAGTTATTTACCATGTATAATCAACTACTAGTATTACCTTTCATTTTTGAATGTGTGTTAATCAACGGATCAGAACAAATCCTGCAGGGCCACCATGGGCGTCTCTTGAATTTTGCCCAGATGAGATCTCCAACTTCATACTTCAGTGGCGTAGACTTTTTCTTGGGTTGACACTTTAGACAGACAAAACATGGGGCATCAATAAGAATCAAAATCTTTTGAAACAGTGTACCATTTTTTTATTAGCCTTCTGAGAAAGCAGAATTCTACAGAAATCTATATAAAAACATTCCGCTTAACAAGTACAAAGCAAGTACAATTGAATCATTTTGTCTTAATGTTTATAATATAGCCCTTTATAAAGTAGTAGCTCTGTATTTATATTTGTTTTATATAAGCAATCTACCTACGTTCATGGAGAAAATAAATTATTTTCATTAATAAAATAGCTAAAAACTGAAAAAAGAAACAATCATCCCTAGGAAAAGATATCTTTGCCCTAGTCCTTAGATTACAACACAACATGGCGGTGGGGGGAGGGGGTGGATTATAAAAAGAATTTATGAACAATGTCAAGAGTCTATGTTCCCAGGGCACCTGGGTGGCTCAGTCGTTGGGTGTCTGCCTTCGGCTCAGGTCATGTTCCCAGCTTCCTGGGATCGAGCCCTGCATCGGGCTCCCTGCTCGGCGGGAAGCCTGCTTCTCCCTCTTCCACTCTGCCTGCTTGTGTTCCCTCTCTCACTGTCTCTCTCTCTGTCAAATAAATAAATTAAATCTTTAAAAAAAAAAAGAGTCTATGTTCCCAATACAATGTGTCAATTATATCTCAATAAAATGGGGGTAGGGGTGCAGGGAGACTGTGGTCCCTTCTACAGGTGATATTCTACATCCTTCTCAAACACAGACATTCCTATTAATTAACAATAATAGCTCTAATGAAATAATCCTGAAAGCTACAGGCTAGACCCTAGTAAGTCAATGCAACTGACTTGGACTTTTTCCAGAACCTACAGAACAGTATACTGCACAACTCCAAGGAACACCATTCATGCAGAATAAGTTCAATACGAATCAAGCTCCTTGGAATTGTCTAATGCAGAGACTTCGGCTGCATCTTTTCCCCAAAACCAATATCCCTAATTGATCTGCAATACAACATCCTCCATCTCCACTCTAAATCCATGGCCATGCCTTTAACACACCATAAGCAGACCTCCTGCCTTAAAATGAACACAGCTCCGTATTTAGTAGGACTGAGCTTCCCACATGGTATACACCACACAAAGGAGTTGCAAGTGTACTGAGATGTTCCTGGGTAGTAGCCAAAAGAAGCACCCAGGGTACTTGGACAAAGATCAACCTCTTCCATTTACTTGAAGGAGACATACAAATAACTATGGTTTTCTCTAAGCGCTATGTATTGAAAAAGGCTTGGTGATCCTCCTTCAGACTCAATCTTCCCTTGTTAATACCTAAAACGGATTAAGCATTCAATAAAGTATATGCTAGATGAACTGACTGAAATCATTCAAATGAATGATGAATATTGCCCTACTGCAGGGATATCAAAGGACTGGGCTCAATTCAATGATTTGTAAGTTACCCATTCAACTTTAAGACTCTTGTTTTCAGACAGAAATTAAATTTTATAGAATGCCTATGAATCACATTGAAAATACTGTGATTAGTTCTATAAGTATAGAGTTACTAGGAAATGAGACAGAAACTACATTTTCTTTTTTTTTTTTTTAAGATTTTTTATTTTTTATTAGAAAGAGAGAGAGAGAGTACAAGCAGGGAGAACAGCAGGCAGAGGGAAAAGCAGGCTCCCCGCCGAGCAGGGAGCCCGATGTGGGACTCGATCCCGGAACCCCGGGATCATGACCTGAGCTGAAGGCAGATGCTTAACCATCTGAGCCACCCAGGCACCCTACATTTTATTCTTTTAAAGAAAAAAAAAAAAGACTATTTTTGCCTGTTACCAGTTTGTAAGTCATCAGGAAAAAAATAGGACTTCAAAACTAGTTAGCTGGCTTTGAAACTTTAAAACCAAGATACAAAGACAGGATGGGAAAACAATTTTTTTTTTTTTTAAGATTTTTATTTGTCAGAGAGAGAGAGAGCACAAGCAAGGGGAGCTGCAGGCAGAAGGAGAAGCAGACTCCCCACTGAGCAAGTAGCCCGATGCGGGACTCGTCCCAGGAACTCTGGGATCATGAGCCAAAGGCAGACACTTAACCAACTGGGCCACGCAGACGCCTGAAAACAATTTTTTTATTTGCCTGTACTGAAAACTACAATTTGAGTAGGTTCCCATAAATTTCTGACACAATTTATGATCATTTAATTTATTTGGCAATCACTGGTATTGGCTTATTTATTCAAGTCCTAAATTACTCTAAACATATTAACTAACATTTACTTGATGTTTGCTATGTGCTAGATGCTGTTCCTTTTTTAATCCTCTTAAGGTAGATACTGTATTATTACTTATTTTACTGTGTGTCTAAGGTCATATGGTATTTAATAAGTTGGCAGAGCCATAATTCAAACCTGGGCAAACTCTCAACCACTGACTAATCCAGTAATAATAAAACCCCATGATTGGAGGCACCTGGGTGGCTCAGTCATTGAGCATCTGCCTTCAGCTCAGGTCATGATCCCGGGGTCCTGGGATCAAGCCCCACATTGGGCTCCCTGCTCAGCGGGGAGCCTGCCTCTCCCTCTCCCACTCCCCTCTTGTGTTCCCTCTCTCGCTATGTCTCTCTCTGTCAAATAAATGAATGAAATATTTAAAACAAAAACAAAAACCCCATGATTGTTAAATTCTTTATGACAAATTAAGTCATAATCTATGACATGATACTGGTTCACTCTTCCCCTCATATTACTCCAACAAAATGATTATATTATCAGAAAGTATAGCCATAAAACACATGCCTTCAAAGTCAACTATATTTCAATAATTTTTTTAAAAGATTTTATTTATTTGACAGAGAGAGACACAGCGAGAGAGGGAATACCAGCAGTGGGAGTGGGAGAGGGAGAAGCAGGCTTCCCGCCAAGCAGGGAGCCCGATGCGGGGCTCGATCCCAGGACCCCGGAATCATGACCTGAGCCAAAGGCAGAGGCTTAACGACTGAGCCACCCAGGCGCCCCTCAATAATTTTTTTAAAAAACATACTTTCAATAGACAGCAAGGAAGGAACATGAGTATTATCAGGTAAAGCCAGAAGCTGAATCACACAACCAGACAAAGCATCAATGAGTTCTGTCTTCTAACTCCAACACAAATTACATCATCTTAAATGAGTCACTTAATGCAGCCTCAGTTTCCTAAGCCATAGAATCAGGAAAGGAACATCTGCTCTCTACTATGAACCATCAAAATGAAAACAGTAATTCTATTCCTAATATTGTAACCCGAAGAAAATAATCCAACCAAGCAGAATTACAGAAAAATATTTCAAGCAGTTACTTATGACAACAAAAACTTAACATCCAACAAGAGACCTGTTAAACGAATTATGCTGACAACTCAACGAAATATGCAAAGTGCAGATGAAATTATGGAATACTGAAAATGTAATACACACCCACACATACAATATACCAACCATTTAGAAATCATGCTCAAACTGAAATGATTTGAAAAGATAAAGTCGGGACACGCCTGGGTGGCTCATTCAGTTAAGCATCCAACTCTTGATTCTGGCTCAGGTCATGACCTCAGGGCTGTGGAACTGAGCCCCAAGTCAAGCCCCAAGGTGGGCACCATGCTCAGAAAGAAGTTTGCTTGAGAGTCTCTCCCTCTCCCCTTGTCCCTCCCCGTTCACACACTCTCTCTCTCAAATAAATAAAAAAAATTAAAAAAAATATATATATATATTGGACGCCTGGGTGGCTCAGTCAGTTAAGCATATGCCTTCGGCTCAGGTCATGATCCCGGGGTCCTGGGATCAAGTCCTGCATCAGGCTCCTTGCTCAGTGGGTAGCCTGCTTCTCCCTCTGCCTGCCGCTCCCCCTTGTGCTCTCATGCTTTCTCTGACAAATAAAATCTTTAAAAAACAAAACAAAAAACAAAAAATAATATATATATATATATATAACGTCAATGAGAAACATGAATAAAAAATAGCTCTACACCCAACATGGGGCTCAAACTCACAACCTCAAGATCAAGAGTCCCGTGCTCTACTGACTAAGCCAGGCAGGTACCCTCTCCAGATTGTCTTGACTGATTTAGCATGTTGACCAAATACTACACTATATGCAAACCCATTGGAAAATAATGTCTATACAAATACATATTGTTAATACTATTATTAAGGGACAACAATAACCAAATCCAACTGACTTTAACACATAAAAAATTAGACACAGGCAAGAATTCCAGACCAAAGCGAGGCCTCCAATTATGAAGTAAAGAAAATAAGAATAAGGAAAAGATACTCTTTTTAAATATGACTCTTGTCTTCAGAAGAGCTTAAATACTTCACCTTGGAAAGAAAGACACCCAAATACACTAAATTGTTAAACCCATAATTCAACTACATACAAACTCACTAAACAACCATAATAGAAAGCTCAATAAGAGACACAATGATGAATTCCTGATCCCAAGACACTTGAAGATATCAGGGAAGACTCAAGTGAAGAAATGTCATCTGAGCTTAGACTGGCAGGATATGCATATTTCAGAATGGTTCTTCCTAATATCTCTATATGTCCAGCTGGAAGAAATATACCGGTGCTAAGCCTTTTTATGTAACTATTGAGCTGAACTGTGCTCACCCAAAAGTATGCCCCACAGTATCTGTAAATGAGACCTCATTTGGAAATAGTGTCTTTGAAATAATCAAGATGAAATCAATTAGGGTGGGTTCCTAATCCAAAATAAATGTGTCCTTATAAAAAGGAAAAATTTGAAAAACTAATGATGTAATGTATAGTGATTAACATAACAATAAAAAATTATTTTAAAAAAAGGAAAAATTTGGAAGCAGAGAGACAGACATGCATACAGGGAAGATGATGAAGACACAAGGAAGACACCTTCTAAAAACCAAGGAACTCCTGAGGCAACTATACATTAGGAGAGGTATGGAATATATTCTCATAAGCCCTCAGAAAAAAACAACTTGACATTGCATTTCTAGTCCGCAAACCGTGA